CCTAATGTCGGGGGTTTAAATGGAGAGAAAATGTTTTGAGAAACGATGTACAAATGCGCTTTACACAATTGATGTGTGTATGGATTGGGATAACAGTTGTGTGAGCCCCTAATAAAATGTTAAAAAAGAAAAAAAAAAAAAAAAGAATATGGCAAGAGACAGCACCCAGCAAGCAGAGAAGGACCCAAGTTAAAAAACAAAACAAAACAAAAAAAAACCCAAAACAGTTGCTGTCAAGTTGATCGCAACTTATGGTGACGGCATATGTTAGACAGTGGAAACGCTCCGTAGAGTGGTCTTGGCCATAATCTTTACAGAAGCATCTTGCGAGACCTTTCTTCCAGCGTCTGAACTGGCTTTGAACTGCCAAGCTTCAGGTGACTTAAATATAGCGGAAACGTGGGTGCCACCTCGCTGTGCAGTTGTTCTTGTGTGGCCCTGAATCTGTTCTGATTCATTGCAATCCAACGGGAAGGAAAACCTTCCCATAGAGCTTCCCAGACCAAAGTCTTTGCTGGAGAAGACCAACCATCAGGTGAGTGTGCACTGCCAGCCTTTAGGGGAGTCCCCAAGTGCATGGCCGCTGTACCACCAGAGCCGGGCCATGGGCTTTGATTGTGAGAGTCTTTTGAAAACGAGGAAACCTGGAGCACGTTTTTGTTCTCAAGAGATAAGCGGTAGAGGCATGGCAAAGGTTGCCAGGTCTATTAGATGGGGAAGTTTGGTTAGAACAGTTGTGAGTGTAACCGCCATTAGAAAAGGAAGCTAGAAATAGAACATCGGCTCAGTAGACGGCAGACTTACCCCTATGATGCTCAGGCCCTTGAGGTAGTCCTGGTGAGGCTGGGCCTGAGGGACACATCCAGCTAGTACTACTTTCTTGTTCTCCTCCTGGGCTTTTCTAGAAGGTGAAGGGAGAGCAAACAGTGGGAACTCTTTCACTCCCAAGTCTCCCCTTGGGAACGGGTGTGGGTGCACATATAGTCTCCAAATAAGAGTGCATTATAAAGAGATTTCTGTGCCTCGTCTCTGCTTTCCTTTCTGAGGCTTTGTATACCCCTCCCCTCACCTTTTCACAGAGAATAGTTTGTGCCTTAATGATACTCCTCTTCCCCTCCTTTTGAGGCATATTCTTCTCCTTTCTACTTCCTCCCCACCAATTGTCCTACCCCAGGGGGTATATACTGTCTTCCCCTCTTACCTGCTTTGATATAATGGGCTCCTTTTCTTACACAGAAAAAAACAAACAAGGAAGTATGGTCTTTTAAAAAAAGCAATAAAAATATAAGATTTCTATAGCGGTCCAATCAGGTCATATCTTTCATTATCTTCTCATTACAATTTTTTTTCACTTATACTGTACAGCGTTCTCAAGAAAATGAATCAGTCCTTAAAACTACATTTGCAGATGACAAATTAACTCTTTACTAAGTCCTTGATTTTAAGTAAAACTTAAAACGATCCTAAAACTTACTGCATTCTCGTTTCAATGAAGGGAAAAAGTACATTCCCTTTTTTACAATCGCTCGTAAAAAAGACAATGTACTTTTTTCTTCATTGAAACACGAGAAAAGGTAACAATTCGCATACTACTCATCTGCATCCCTCCCTAGTCATCTTGCCCCAAACTTACATGTTACTGATGGTTGATGACTGCTTACTTCCCAGCCTCCCCTTACATATGCAAGCACATCCGAGGGGCTTCAAGAAATCCCTGGGGAAGCGACCCAGGCCCCACTGCCCTTCCTCCTCCTGCAGCGCCGAGGTGACCTGCCAAAATGGCTCGTTACTCACCTGACCCAGAAAACCCCACAAAATCACGCAAATCAAGAGGTCGAACCTCCGGGTCCACTTCAAGAACACCCGTGAAATGGCCCAGGCCATCAAGGGCATGCACATGCGGAAAACCACCAAATATTTGAAAGAGGTCACTCTGCAGAAGCAGTGTGTGCCTTCCAACGTTACATGGTGGTGTTGGTCGGGGTGCCCAGGCCACACAATGGAGTTGGACCCGGGGTCGGTGGCCCAAAAAGAGTGCTGAATTTTTGCTTCACATGCTAAAAAATGCAGAAAGTCGTGCTGAATTGAAGGTTTAGATGTGGGTTCTCTGGTCATCGAGCACATCCAGGTGATCAAAGCCCCCAAGATGCACTGCCGGACTTAGAGAGCTCAAGGTCGGATCAACCCACCCATGAGCTCCCACTGCCACGTTGAAATGATCCTGACTGAGAAGGAACAGATCGTTCCCAAACCGGAAGAGGAGGTTGCACAGAAGAAAAAGATCTCCCAGAAGAAACTGAAGAAGCAAATACTTATGGCTCGGGAATAAATTAATCTGAAAATAATAAAAGTTGAAAAAAAAATTCATGGGAAAATTCCATTGTCTTTTCACACCCTTTTGGAAGCTCCCTCCTACACGGCAGACCTGATTCATTTGTGTACCCACATATCTCACTACTTTTACGTAAGGGTAAAACTCCACAATTTTTACTTAAAGATAAAGCTTCACATTTTGTTCTATAACATTCATATTTTACATCTAGCCCACCTTGTAGATATGTCTTCACACTTAGCCATTAAACACAATCTGTGACTAAAATAACTATTCTTATTTTGAAAAGCATCATGGCGAGTCCCATGTTTTCAATAGTACTAATGGCTCTACAACGAGCATTGCTTCGAGAGTCGAGGATTTGTGCATGTTATTTCTGAGTTAGAGAAACCTGGATATAACATCGGTGTCCAGTTGTCTAATAATTATTTCCCCCGTATCCACTCCAAGAAGATGAACTGCTGGATCAAAGGTCGACACATCTGGTTACCCTGTTACACATCTCTGTAGGTGCGAGGGGGGTAGGATAGATTTTTACGTGGATGTTATTCCTTCGTTCATTCATGCATGGGTGTATGCAACAAACCTGCATTCTGTGCTAAGAAGCTAGAACAAAGTAGAGCTTACAGCTTATTCCTGGAAACGTTGCCCGTTTCAAGTTAAATGTTCAAAGCTTCTGTTATCTATGTCACCGTGGGAGTGTTGCTGGCACTTTAAAAACGTTTGCTCCTAGGTTCATGGATACTGGGCCTTGGGCACCAAAATAAGTTTTCCAAGAGACTCAGGAAATTGAAGGTCTCGGCTGTCGGGTCCCTGGGCCTGTGAATGCCATATCATACTAGCATGAAGTGACAATCGCTCTGCCCGGCACACACTTAATGGCTTTGTCAACCTTCTCAATAACACAAGTTCTGAACAGGAAGCCAACCAAAAATTGGGGTTAACGGGACTAGCAATGTGTGATCAATCTAATCAAATCAAACCTCTGGGGGAAGTAGGCACAGATTAATTAGAATGAATGAACAGGAGAATAGAAAACACTAGTGTAACGGCATGTGTGTTTCATTTCAATAACATATTCTAGCACGCGGATATGTTAAACTGAGAATCTTGACAAACACGTGTTCCCAGCATTGCGGCGGGGTGGGGGTGGGGGTGGGGGGGGCAGTCACCTGGCTCTACCACAGGGCTTGACTTTGTTTTGTTGAGTACCAAGCACCTCACTGCACACACAGACTTCTAATAAAAAATACGTTCTCAAAGAAGAAAATCTGCCCATTTCCACCAAAAATCTACAAGGAAAAGTCATCTGGTTTCTTCAAGGATTTTCTCTGCAACACCTAAAAGCGATGTCAGACATCTAAGACAGTTCCCGAGATCGCTAAGGAAAAGCCTGCTTCCTGTAATGAATGCAGTGTCTTCAGTATTAAACGCCGTCCAGCCAGGTCACTGAGTGTTTGGGGGAACACAGCAATGAAGTCAATCGGCCACGCTTGGCGCTCACAAAACTGACGGAGTTACAGTGGGTGACACACAGGACACACAGGTCAGAGTGCCCCGGGATGGAGGCACACAGGGAAACCAAGGCAGCCACCAGAATGAATGCCCAGGCACCAAAGGTCCGGGAAAGGCCCCTGGGGAATGTGAGAGGATTGTGTGCACAGGCCAGGAGCAGGAAGAAGAGAGATGCTGGCAGAGTTAGCCCCGTGCAGTTGGTGCAGAGGGGACAAAGACAGGGGGGTGTCCATTCATAGATGAGACTTCTGGTCAAAGGGAGCGTGTGGAGGGAGCCGTCAGGAGCAGGCTGGCACAGCTGGACTTGCTGCAGAGGGCAGTGGGAAATCGCTGAGCTTTAGGATGACAGAATGGCCAGAGGGGGAAGCCAACCTTGCGAGCATAGCTCTGGTGGCCCGGTGTAAAGCGAATGAAAGGAACGGAGAAGACTAGCCAATGTCACAAGTGGAAGGATATGGAGAGTTGAATTCAGTTGGGACATTTGAAAAGGGGGTTAAAAGGAGAAAAGAATTTTTTAAAAGATAGGGAACCGATTACAAGGATCTATATGTGACCTCCTCCCTGGGGGACAGACAACAGAAAAGTGGGTGAAGGGAGACGTCGGACAGGGCAGGATATGACAAAGTAAACAATTTATAAATTATCAAGGGCTCATGAGGGAGGGTGAGGTGGGAGGGAGGAGAGAAAATGAGGCCCTGATGCTGGGAGCTTAAGTGGAAAGCAAATGCTTTGAGAATGATGAGGGCAATGAATGTACAAATGTGCTTTACACAATTGATGTATGTATGGATTGTGCTAAGAGTCGTATGAGCCCCTAATAAAATGATTTAAAAAAAAGATTACTTCTGTTGAAGAATACATGAGCGAGCTTCAGCAAGTTTACACAAAAATTCTAGTTTTTCCATGATTTTTGGAAGCCCCTGTGTATCTGGGCCCTCCGAGGAGGTATCGAAGGACATACTCAGGTGTAGTGTGTGAGGAAGGGATCGGCAAACTTCTTCGGTCCAGGCTCTGCTGCCAGTCAGGTCTTTGTTGCACGAGTGTTTAATCCCGCCATGGTGGCGCGAGACCAACCACAGACAATGTCTAGACAAATGGGTATGGCTGCATGCCAACAAAACTTCCTTTACACAAACAGACAACAGCCAGGACTTGGCCCCGGGACCATAGTCTCTAATCCCTGGATTAAGGGAATAAAAGCAGAGTGGTGCCATTAACTGCCAGGAGATTCTGAGTGAGCACTGGGATGCTGTCCTTGGCTGCTAGAGTCTGCCCTGGCTCACGGCAAGCCCAAGTACGTTGGAACAAAGCCCTGCCCGGTTGGGCACCATCCCCCCATGCAGTTAAAGAGCGGGCTGTTGTGACCCATAGGATTGTCATTGACTGGGTTTCTAGATTGCCAGGCCTTTCTTCTTGGTCACTGTAGCCTGCTTAAACCTACCTGGTATCCATCATAGCAATACTCCGACAGGCGAGTGATCACTGCATATGAGGTGGGTACAATGCCAGAAACGGAAATCTCTCCTCCTGCTTGGGTTCGTCATGAGATAGAATCAACTCGGCCAACTAGCAACTCCTACATGAAAGGGTAGAAGTCTATTGCTGACCCACCACTGCCCGTGTGAGTATCGGGAGTGGTTGTTGTAGGTGTCACGCAGTTGATTCTATCTCATAGCTATCCTTAGCCCTGCACCAGCCTCACAATTGTTCTTGTGGTAGAGCCCATTGAACTCTAACACTCTCTCTCTCACTCGCTCTCTCTCTCTCTGTCACACACACACACACACACACACACACACCCCTACTGCCATCAAGTTACTGGGAGCTCACAGCAACCTCAAAGGAAAAATTAAAAAGCGATGCTATCAAGGCAATTCGGGCACACACCAATGCTATAGGACAGTGTGGAACTGCACTACATGGTTTCACAGGTGGCAAATCTTTATAGCAGCAAGATAATCACATCTCTCTCCCACAGAGAAGCTAGTGGCTTCAAACTGCAGGCCTTTCGCTTAGCAGCTAAGCACGCAACCAGTGTGCCATCACAGCCCCTA